GCCTATAATAGAGGTGCTGGGCACTGAGTCCAAGGTGGGGAAACATGTTTAGGGCTAAGATGGCCTCAAAGCCTTGTGGGCCTGTCACAATTAGCTCTACCTGAGAGGTCCCTGTGAGCAGGTTGGTCAAGAAAGCCCCAGGCAGGTGAGTGCTTGGCAGAAACACCCCACATTCCAGCCTCGTGAGGTTATTTTGGGGTGAGTGTGGCAGCATGGGAATGAGGCTCTTTAGAGCTGGCACATGAACTGTCCTGTGTGCGTTCCCAGACCTCAGCTGGCCTGGCCTGAGCCTGACCAGGGTAGACTCCCTAGGATGGGATTCACTCTGCCAGCCAGGCACAATCCTTCAGGCTGGCTGAGGCTGTTTTCCTTGTCACTCAGGGCTTTCCTGCCAAGCTTGGCACTGGCTGAGTCAAGAGTGAGCTTGGAGAAAGGGAAAGATCCCAGCCCCAAACCTCATCAATTCCCTGCCATCTAATAACTCGCAGCTTCAGCAGACGAACACACGCACACATTCATTACCAAGTCTAATTAGGCTGTAGACAAGTGGCATTAATCATTTTTGACTATACCTGGAATTCAAGCCCCCATACTCCATAATCATAAAATTTCATGCTCTGATGGATGGGGGCTGGAACTGGCCCACATTTAATCCCTTCACTTTCATGTTTTGAGAAAATGGGAAGGGAAGAAAGGAAAACTAGGGATGCAGGGCTGGAGTGTACAGCGTACCATCATTGCCCTTCTCTATCTTTTAACACACACTCTAAAAAGGCCTTTCCTAAGACTTTAATTAGAGCCAGAAGAGAAAACTGGGTGTTTCCCTGTCATCTTTAACAACAAAACATCAATTTTAGTGCCTAATTTTCCCAGCTTCCCAAACAAAATATGGGTCCAAGCTAAGGAAAACACAAGCTACATATTCCAGCATGAATAGCCCCCCAAGTACCCAGAGTAAACACAGGGACCACCAGCACAATAAAGGGCACTTGCCAAGATGCTGCCTATGGAGACCTTTATCTGTCACAGTGGGGAGGGGATGGGGGTGATGGCCAAAGTCAGGGTCCTAGTCTTCTTGCAAAGAGCCCTAATAAAGTCAGTGAGCTGCCACCTGGGTGGCTCCAATCCCATAGAGGACAGAGTTAAACCCAGCCATTAATACAGCAACAGTAACTAGAGAAATCACATGAGCACCCTGGAGACATCACAGCTCTCATGAATAATGTCATGGAACCCCTCCCTAGGAATCTGGCAGCAAACATGAGGTTCTCAAAGCCTACCACTGGAGGGGGAGGTTAAGGAACTAAGCCCAGGGAGACCCTTTTTTTCAAGCCCACCATTTCAACCACTTTAAACTAGTGGCTCTGAATAACTGAACCTTCAAAGACACCCTTTCCTGGAGCCAACCTGGAGCACTCATGTGTTAACAGCTTCCACCTGAAGTCTCTCCTCCCTGGCTGACAATTAAGACTTGGTTTCCCCAACTGCCAGACCATTCCCTGGCCCAGGACGGTTCACACACCCACTCAAATGAGACAAATGGCAGAAGGCCATCTTTACGTGCTGCGAACCTTCTACACAAGAAAGGGCAAGAGGCAGCTGGAGAAATTCCCAGGTTATTTGCTGCTGACTTCTCTGGGGAATGCTGGAGCCTAACCATTACCACCCCACCCAAAAACAAAGCATTGGGGTTCAGCCACCTCTCAACTTCTGCTGTTACCCTCTGTGTGTATTTGCACCCATTGGATTTCCTTCTCTAACTGACAAATTTGATTTTGTGTGTGCCTTTGTTACACATTTGTTGTGGGGGTGTTTGGAAGCTAGAGGTCAACACAGAGTCTCTTAGTCTCTTCCATGATTGATTTTTTTTTTTTTAAGACAGGGTCCCTCATTGAACCTGGAGTTTATGAACACAGCTAGACTGGCTGTCCAGCAAGCTGCCCCTTTCCCCGTTATGGCTTACAAGTGAGCACTGTAAGGCCAGGGTTCTTTTTTTTTCTTTTGTGAGTGCTGGGGGACTGAACCCATGTCCTTATGCTTGCATGGCAAGCACTTTATCAACTGAGCAGTCTTTCCAGCCCTCAGACTTAATCCTGAGAGTCAGCATTAGCTCTGAACTTTCCTCTCGGCAAACTCAGTGTTAACCAGTGCTGCTACAGACCTTGAAATGGGACTAAGCTTAAGCTAGGCAAGGCAATTCTCTAACACTTCCCTCATTGAAAGCCCATTTGTCAACCAGGCTCCTTCCCAGCATCAGCACCCTGAACAGGAAGATGTCAATCACAGCCCCACTGCCTGCTGAGACTTAACAGTGTAGACAAGCATCCATTTCCAACCTCCACTTACAGAAACCAGGCATGGCACTCTGCGGGTCGAAAGTGCTACTCAGAAAGAGACCCTTAAGGCAGGTACACGAGTCTCAGCCATGGGACTGTGGTTTAATTACAGCTGACTTCCATCTGAGACACTAGGCAGGGATGTCATTTCTGAAGGACACTTCATACCTGGACTTCCAAGATGTACTCTCCACTTCCCCTTTTCAACTCAACAACCAAGCAAAGCTTGAAAACTGTATTCAAGGCTTAGGGGCTATAGTGAGCTCCAGCTAACAATTAAAGCTCTTAAAATGGGAGGGGATAATAGTAACACTTATATCTAATTAGATGTCCATTGTGCATCCTGTCAACCACTTTTATAATCAACTTACATGTATATGATTAATACATTGAACCCTCACATTAACACAATGCAGTAGATAAGATCATTACCCCCACTTTTTAAAGACAAATGAATGCAACTTGGATTTATGGGGTCACATAGAAACTAAATGGCAGTTTGGATTCAAAGGCAGGATTTTGGTTCCAGTTTGATGTGTGTGTGTGTGTGTGTGTGTGTGTGTGTGTGTATGAGCACGCGCACGTGTGTGCACAGTAAGCTATACTGGCTGGCCAGCAAGGCCAGCAAGGCCCAGGAATCTGCCTGTCCCCACCCCCTGCCCAGCACTGAGATTACAAACACGTGCCAGCCACCAAGCCTGCCTGCCTTTATTTTTTTTCACATGGGTTCTGGGGATCAAGTCCAGGCCCTCGTGCTTGCTTTGCCAGCGCCCCCAGTTCCAGGACTACCTTTTAGAAGTTCCTTTTTCAAAATGAAAATCAAGCAGACCAACCCTCTCAGGGACCCAGACCTCAGCTTGACACCAGATGCCTGAGTCTGCCTGCACACCAAAAATTTCTCAACTTGCTCCTGGTCAGCTGAATGCTCACAGTTAAATATTAAAAACAACAAACAGAATCTTTTCTGTGGCTTCTTGACTCAGGTTCTGCTGCCTCTGTAGTGGTCAGACATCTCTGGCTGGTATAAAACCAGCCACGCAGGGGCCACAGGAGCCCAAGAAAGTGAAAGGACCTCAACAATTTGCAGCTCAGAGGCCTTGTCTGTGGTCTCCATTTTTCCAACTGCTGGAAACTATTTAGGGACTGAGCAAGAGAAACCATTCTAATGTGGTTCGAGGATGCTCGTTTACTCATGGAGTGCTGCACAGATTCCCACACAGAAGCCTGCCAGCACAGCATTACTGCTAACCAGAAGAATACCACAAACTTGGTGTAGAACGGACGGTTCCTCAAAGTCTAAATGCAAGCAAGAATTACAGCAAGCATATTTTTCCTGGACAATGCAGCTTCTGGAATTTGAGCATAGGTAAACCCATTAGAGTGAGGGCACCGTCTCTTTCCCTGTGTACGGGGTTAGTGGGATGTGAGAGGCAGCCAGGAACATGCCGGGAGAAAACGCCAGCAGCATGTCCAAAGGCGATGCACAGCAGCCGGCCCACATGTGGCCCAGGCACAGGACTCTACATGCTTAGCTCTTTCTTGAACAGACACCTGAACGGGGAGTGCTCGTTGTGGAAGAACAGCACCCACTTTCCCCTTCCGCTCAGTCTTGGCATCAGCTGAGAGGCAGTCGCCGTGGTAGGGCTAGCTGCTGCTGTCCAGCAATGCAGTCTGAGGGAGGCACTGGCTGCTATGAGAGAAGGGCCTTTACCAAAAAATGTGACAACTACCATAATCCATTTCACAGATGACTGCTGGAGACTGGCATTGTGTTTCACATGTTTAAAGTAGCTGCATAAACACATGGCTATGAGCATCCTTGGCGACAGCATTAGCATGGCTTGCTGAGGAGGACACATAGTAAAGGAACACACACATTCTCACCACTGGACAGAGGTAATAGAAACCCTAAAAAGAGTGCAGACGCGCTTAGAAACTCTCTACACTGGTGCCCAGTGTTTCAGTCAGGAATGAGAGAAGCCTGGCTGGCAACTGGGGATGCCCAAGCAGGGAGCTTAGTAATTTGGAGCTAGAAGATTGGTGCCGGGATGGGAGGAGAAGGAAGAGGAGGGACTCAGCCAAACACTGAAGCAGAGCAGAGTATAGGGGCTGGGGAGTCAGATGTGGAGGGCAGAAGAGGCCTCAGGTGCAGGTGACCTTGGCATCTTCCAACCTCACAGCCCGTTTCCATTCAAAACCTAACCAGGCTTCCCGTGCCAACATCTCCCCTAAGAGGAAAAGCTCAGGCTTGCCAGAGGTGACCAAGCCACTTCCCTATTAACTCTAATAAGTAAGGGTCAAATACTCACTTTGCTATCAATATCACTACCCAATCCTAAAAATGTACAACTAAAGGAGGAAGAGGGTGTGTGAAAGACAACTGAATGACCTTGTGACGAGCCATCAATCCCAACCTACAAACGAGCTTGCCTGCTTGCCTCCGGGAGAAGGCTGGAACCGTATGAAGGTGCACAACCTTACAGCATAACCACATCTGCTTAGTTGGCAGCCTCTAAAGGCTACCAGGCAGTAGACAGCAGCTGTCTCCAAAGTCTCCAAAGGTTACCTTCTTAAAGTTCGGGCAGGTCACAAAAGGCAATGGCCTCCTCTCCCAGGCTCACAGCCCTTCACCCGGCCCACCTCCCCTGCCCTGCCCTCACTCACTAGCGCAGCGCAGCCCCTGCCGCAGCACCTCTCGTCCGCACAGGTCACACCAGCCCGGGCCGCCCCGCAGTGCCAGTTCCGTGAAACGGTGCCCCTCGCCTCTCTCGGCTAGGACGCGGGGATCCTGCGGTTGCTCGAAGATGCTCCGCACGTCG